AAATATAGCAATATAATATAATAAAAAATATTGAAATATAATAAAATAAAAAATATAGAAATATAAAATAATAAGAAATATAGAAATATAATATAATAAAAAATATAGTATAATATAATAAAAATCTAGTGATATAATATGATAACATGTATAGTAATATAATATAATAAACACTATAGTACTATGACATAATATAATATAATAAATAATATAATATAATAAAAAAAAATATTAAAATATAATAAAATAAAAAATAAAGAAATATAAAATAATAAGAAATATAGAAATATAATATAATAAAAAATATAGTATAATATAATAAAAATCTAGTGATATAATATGATAACATGTATAGTAATATAATATAATAAACACTATAGTACTATGACATAATATAATATAATAAATAATATAATATAATAAAAAAAAATATTAAAATATAATAAAATAAAAAATAAAGAAATATAAAATAATAAGAAATATAGAAATATAATATAATAAAAAATATAGTATAATATAATAAAAATCTAGTGATATAATATGATTACATGTATAGTAATATAATATAATATATATGAATATTAATATAAGTTATAATATAATATAATGATATAAAATATAATATAATGTAATATAATACGATATAAAGCAATATAATATAATGCAATATAACATAATATTATTGTATAAATAAATAAAATAAAATGTAATATAATATAATATAACTGTAAAAAATATAATAATATGATATGATATAATATAATGTATTATCATATAGTATATAGATTATAATAAAATATAATGTAATATAATATAATTGTATAAAATATAATATAATACAATATAATGTAATATTATACAATATAATAATATTATATGATATAATAGTATAAAAAATAATATGATATAATTTAATATGTAATAAAATGTTATAAAATATAATATAATATAATGTAATATAATACTATATAGTTTCATATAAAATATCATAATATAATATAATAGTGTAAAAAATAATACGATATAGTGCAATAATACAATGGTATGAAATAAATTATTATAAAATTTAATATATTAAATATAATATATATTATAATATAATATAATATAATATAATATACAATATAATATAATATAATATAATATATAATATAATATAATATAATATAATATATATTATAATATAATATATATTATAATATAATATAGAATATAATATAATATACAATATAATATAATTTACAATATAATATACAATATAATATATAATATAATATAATATAATAAAATCTTATAATATAATATAAAATAATATATATTATATGGTATGGTATATTATATTATACCATATAAAAAAAGTAGTATAATATAAAAAGTGTTATAATATAATAATAATACGATGTCATACATAAAACAATATTTATAAAGTAATATAATATATAAAATAATATATATAAAGTAATAAAATATATATCATAATATAATGTAATACATAAAATAATGAAATGTAATGTATAATATATAAAATAATATAATATATTATATTATAAATAATAATACTACATTTTATTATAAATATAATAATAATATAATAAATATAATATAATATAAATATAATATAATATATATTAAATAATGTAGTGTGTAAAATAATATAATTAATATAATATGAATATAATATAATATTAATTATAATATAATATATATAATATATATAATATAATATAATATAATATAACTATAATTAATATAATATAATATAATAATAATATAATATAAATAATATAATATAATTATATATATAATATAATATAATATTAATTATAATATAATATAATTATAATATAATATAATATAATAATAATAAATATTAATATAATATAATATAAGATAATAATTAATATATATAATATAATATATTAATATAATATATATTAATATAATATATATAATATAATATAATATAAATATAATTATAATATAATATAATATAATATAATATAATATAATATAATATAATATAATATAATATAATATAATATAATAAATAAACACATATTCAACAAGAATTCTCATTTACAAATTATAAACTTTCAAGTACAAATTGAAATTTATTTCGGGTTTAATTGATCATTTTTTATAACTTTGAAGGTACAGGTTCGGACAAAAATTATAGTCGAGTTTTATGAAAAACAGTGGCACTATAAAAACTAATAAGAATTTAGAAGCATAATAACAATCCGGTAATATGATGGGAAAACCAATTTAACTCTTTCATTTAGATAGTTATGTCTTATATTGGATAATACCAATAGATACCTTAAAAGGAGTCATTTCAAAATGTCGCTCATACTCAATTGAGCATTTGCAAGCCCCCTAGCAGGATTTGATTAATTGTTATGGCAATAAAAATGCTCCAATCCAGTTGTTAAGTTTACCAAGAAGAGAGTGTTTGGTTACTACAGCAATAATAGATCAATCAATAGACCATTAATAGATGGAATATATCAAAGTACTTAGTTATTTTGTTTGTTTGCAGAACAGAACGTTTCACCATTGCGTGTCGGTTGCAGCTTTTATTGAGCTTTTATGTCTTTATATTATATTATGGTCCACTTTATTAAGATATGAAGGTTAAATTTTAATGTATTTTTACATTTCTAAATACAATTTTTGCAAGGTGATGAAATTACTGAATGGATGACTATAATTAGTTAATGAACTGAGACCAAAATGGAGCATGCAATTCTTTAATAAAGTATTTGCATTATTGGAATATAATAATCAAAAGCTTATCAAATTTGGCATACAATCACTTCTTGATTTCGGAATATTGAATTTACTAGGTTTAAGAGATACATTGAAAGTTAACAGAAGCGTCTATATTTGATCTAGTTTCAGATTTAGAAATTTAATTGTTGGCATATTTAAACGGTACTATATAATTTTTGTTCAAATGAATATAAGTTATTGTATGTAAAATCATTTTTGTAAATATTGGGGTTTTGATAATATTATATTTTATAAAATACCAAACTTACATTAACAATAGCATTATCGGCATGTGGTCGGCATACCATGTAATTTGTTTGGGGATGTTTTATCTCTTTGAACAACTTGTCTATAAACCTAAAGAAATCAATAAGCAATTATTTATTTCTAATTAGGTAGATTAAGAAAAATTAAATAAATATAAACTTACTCTGGATCTGAAAATGCTTCAGCACGTTGTTCGGTAGGCCGCAAGTTAGTTTTATTTAAAGTATTATAAGCTGAAGAGCTATAATCATGCAACTGGAAACAATCAACATTATAAGTCTTTGTATTTCTGTAAATTTAAACATATAGCTAAAAACCTTTTCGATCCATTTGTAACCTTTTAGGAGCGGTGCATATAAAGACTGATGCTCTTGCGTAGTCTCTAGTGCTAAATACTCGAAAATTGCTTTCTCAAGCGGATATGGCTTTGGCATTGTTTCTAAACTCTCAATAAACAGTTCGACGTTTCTATCAAATTCACATTCGATTTTTTACATATTTAATGTTATAATATATTTGCTAACCTTAGTTTTCCGTTGATATCATCAGCTTTTGCTTGAAATTTATTTAGAAATGCAATTCGACGTGTTTCTTCAGAAACATCTGCACTAAATAAATCCTCATAACATTGCAACACACCAGAGCGCAATCCTTGGACCGCATAAATCGTAGTCTGTAATCTCTCCATTACATTTACTGTTTTTCCAAATATTTTAATTCTATATTTCAATTTAACAAAAATTTGATTGTACACATAAAACACAGCCTATGTAGGTATACTGAAAATAATCGGTACTGGTAACATTGTATGATATTGTAATAAATGACTTCTAACAAAGAACATGCTAAGGAGGGAAAACTTTTTCATTTTAAGCACATATATTTATTGGCTTAAGACACACTTGTGTAATTTATAAGGATCTGTGGATTAATAAATCTGAGGACAATTGTAGATTTATATACAAGAACGAGTTTGCCTGCGTGTGCGTAGGAAAAAAGCAAAATACTGTTTTTGATCAGTAATCGGAAATTTATTTAAATTGGTAATTATTTTGGTATTAAAAAAAATAGAAAATTACATATAGATTTTTTTAAATAAAAGTTCTATGTAAATGTAAGAGAATATTCCAAAAAAATAACAGAAAAGAAATATTGTGCATTTGTTGCTTTCATCAAATGTTCAACAGCATCAAAGTATGAGTAAAATTTCAATCCATTAAATACAGGTAACTGTGCGAAAACTGTTATAAAATTTTTTTTTCCATTTTCGCTTTAATTCAAGTTGTACATGAACCGTTAAAAAATGAAATTTTTTTGATTTAAATAATTTTATAGCTAGGTAAGATTTTGAGCTAGGTAAGACATTGAACTCCTGGAGTTCTGCCAAGCAACGTGCAGCCGTCAAAATAAAAATAAATAAATAAATATAAAGTAAATAATATAAAATATTGAAAAACGTTGCGTTGACTTCTGGCAATGTTATACAATATAATAGAAACCAAACAGACGATGCAAACCACATCTGACAATTATAGGTGTATTCAAGATTAAGGTACTGGGACGACTTTACACAGTTCAATCGAAATAACGTGAGTACTTCGTTTCACGTTTGTTGTTGGGGAATATTTTACAGACAAGCGACAAGTGTTTAACATATATCAAGATGCATATGGTGAGTTACAATTACTGGAAGACTTCAATCATTTGGACCTGACACTTGCTGATGCAGCATTTGGATCCACACCAAATGACACTCGCCAATAGTTCGCAGTTACATTGATTGCTTTTATTTAAATCAGTTATCGGCTTTGTGGAAAAGATACAAGAACTACGTGACGGGAGACATAAGTCAGCAAATAAGGCACAAAAACCAAGATCTGAACATTAATTTAATTGCAAGAATGTGTAATAAATCATTAATAAATCATAAATCAAATTATTTGGGCATATGTGTATATTAATATCAAGTTGGCCACTTTATTATTACATTATTCCATAGCCTGGTTACCCATCCGCGGGGTTAGCTAAAAGTGCCGAGCAGTCAGAAGTACGTGATAAGAACGTTAACTTATTTGCTTATATTGAGAACAATGAGCCGTTAATGACTGCTGACCAAAAAATATTTATGATCAAATTAGTTTGACAGTTGCTGCTCAACAAAATGGATTTTTTATCATGAGTGCATCATGCGCAACCGACAAGACACTTTTATTATACCGTATCCTTGCAATGATGCGTTGTCAACAGCAAATTGCTTTAGCCATTGCATATATAGGTATTGCTCGGATTTGCTACATTGTAGCTGAAGCTGCTATTAATCGGTTCATAATAATCTGAACGAAATGTGTAACATTGAAAAAAAGTGGTGTAGCTGCAGTGCTACAAAAGAGTTCTATCTTTATCAGCGATGAGGATACTATGGCTTATAAACAAACTCTGGAAACATTGCATAGAACTATGGAAGATTTGAATAGGAACGATTAATTATTTGATTTATGAAACCAATGGTACTAAAAAAAAATCAGACACAGAAGTGTTTAGAAGTATGCTAACTAAATCAATGATTTATTATAAAAGAATACATTTAAGTACTAAAAGTACTTATAGACATTTACTCAGGCTTTTGTTAAAGGCTCGAAAATGAAGGGCATTTATAAATATCTTTAACATTCATATATTTTTAAAGTGAAAGTCAAGACTGCAGCTGTGATAGGATTACTGCATATAGTGAATTGGATTATGGATTTTCAAATTTAAAGTATACGTTCCATTTTTGGAAATTACGTTTGTTTGTACAATCATATAAGATTCACATAAAATTTCATATTAATTTGAAAATGAAATAGATCAATTAATCGTACTAAACATTTTATGTATATTATTCAATACACATAAGTACACAATTAAATATTAAATATATATGTATACATACTCTTAAATCCCTAAATAAATACATGCTTAATATGAAAATACTGATATGCCCATACAAACTTACTTGTAATGCCAGCAATAAATCAAACGTAATAATTACAATATTTATGTCATAAAGTATTATATGTAAATATACCGATATATGATGCCAACAAGTCCTTCTTTTATAAAAAATGCTATATTTAACATTTCAACACCCACTTGATTATATCTTCCTCCTTTTTGAGCATCATCTGGACGATGTTGCCTATTTTTTTACAGTTAAACACGCTTAATGAAGTCATCAGCGCAAGTTGCTGTTTAAATATTTTTCTTTTAAGCACAAATTTACAAAGTATACAGTTAATTAAAAAAATGGTCAACATGTTAGCATATGCTGTATATATCCAAGGAAGTGTTTATAAGGAGAGTACCCAGCAGAAATATAAGAAGACCTATACAAAATTCAAATATTTGCGTATATTACAAACATATTATTAGTCTTTCAACTATCTATCTATATTAATAGATCTATACATATCTATAAACTTGAAGAAATAAAATAGCACAGTCGAATATAGTACATACTTAATTGATATGGAATTTTACATCAAAAGATAGAAATTAAACGGTTTAAAAGGAGACATGACGATCCAAAATTTTACGTGGATACCTGTCGTAAAGGGGTAACAGCACGATGCTTTTCACACACACATCGGAATATTACGCCGATGAACGCCCCATTAGAACTTCGAAAAATTCCACCGGTACCAGTTGAAGTTATGTGTTTGGCCATAACTTCCCCCTTTGGTGAGGAGCGATGCCTATCTAACACCTTTGATCTTTCGGTCACAGCACCCGGTTGGAAAATGCGACTCTATATCGAATGATTGCAAATGAATACAATCATTCAACCTGCTTATATTTGGGTTTTAACCACAACCACCATAAGACTTCTTTAAAGCAGTTAACCTTAATGGTCAGGCCTTAACCACCGTGGTACCGGATTCACACCTCCGGCCGGGTGTTATAAGTGAAATTCACTTATTACCAGTGACAGTGACCAGTGACAAACACTGTGGGATGATGCGCACAACGAACGGACAACAACTAAACACGGACATGTACATGGACAAGAAAAAACAACTATGGAACGGTCACCCCACCTCGTACACGTAATGCACTTGTAAGTGCACACATTCGCCTACTCTCACATGGTACATCAGTTAACTCACCAGGACACGACGACGGTTAAATACTGCACATGCAGTTATATAACGAGATATGGAGGCATCCTTCGGCATTAGTGGGACCAGCATACATTTCATTTTACATATACATTTAGCTTGTGAGAAAGATTAATTCTTGTTGGATTCTCCGCAACTTGACAATTGGGCAAAGGAAGTAACGTGCTGATTGGTGCAAAAAAATGCCGCAAAAATACGCCCGATGTAGATGAAAACACGTCAGCGACATCCAGCGACGTCAGTGACAAATCATGAATCTATTTCTAGAAGCCCGAAACAGAATAGCAATCCAGTATTTAGATCTTCCAAAGTAAGCGAAACCCAACAAAAGGTTTTTTCTCATGTTATCTCAATTTTTCCGCGTACACTTAATTTACAAAAAGTCTAAAGTAGCTTATGTTTAACAATGTCAAACTTTCGTTTAGAAATGTCACATGACACTGACAGCAATCTGTGTTGCCAATACTCAAAATATCAATAGTGACCCATTGGCAATACAAATTGGGTTCGGATCAAAATAATATATTTTGACAAACTGCAATTCCAGTCCAGAATTGGCATAAGTCATACGAATATACTGAAACAGAATTTCCCAGTCTCTGTTTCAAGTGACTGGGGTAGCGCAACCCCAATCTAGGGTTCGTCTTTCTTATACTTAGTAGGGAAGATTGGTCTTTGGACAAAATTGTCTCTGTAAACATGGTATATAAAAAATTCAATTAGATTGCCGATGTAAATATTGTGATCGTGATCAGCTAACCTGCCCATAAATCTCTGGCAGGCACTACCGCCGCACCCATAACGAATATACTGAAACAGAATTTCCCAGTCTCTGTTTCAACTGACTGGGGTAGCGCAACCCCGATCTAGGGTTCGTCTTTCTTATACTTAGTAGGGAAGATTGGTCTTTGGACAAAATTGTCTCTGTAAACATGGTATATAAAAAATTCAATTAGATTGCCGATGTAAATATTGTGATCGTGATCAGCTAACCTGCCCATAAATCTCTGGCAGGCACTACCGCCGCACCCATAACGATTTAGGACAGTATACAGCTCACATGGGCAGCTGAACGAGTTGACATATCGGGCAACTATAGTATGATCGATCATACCAATACAGTTACTCTGTTTCCTAACACTTATTTCTCAGATATTGGTATCCCACTTGCAACGGCTAAACTGGCAACCAAACAGAAACATTAAAACATAGCTGAACAAAATTGGACAGATTAACCCGGTTGTCAAAATCCAAGATTAACCTTGTCCAAAGTGAACGAAAAAAATTCTAGTCCGTTGCTTCAACTAAGGCGTACGGACTACGGTTTCGTTGCTAATTGGTCATTGTATGCTAAGAAGACATACTATAAAACTGGGTCCACCCCATAATGCCTTTTGTCATGATTGTGGCTCTGCAGATCAGAAAGAAATTATGCTCTAACTTATGTGTCAGTGTTCATGATTGGATAGGACAAGATCTAAAATCTTCAGGGCCTCAATACGGCTGAGCTGTCACTTTACAAAACTAGGGA